TTGCCTGTCCTTGAAGGGAGATGAGTTTCTTGCAGATAACAAAAAGATGCGTTTTGTTTCTTAATCCATTCAACTAGTCTGTACCTTTTGACTGGGGAATTCAGTCCATTGATATTTAAAGTTATTAATGAAAGATGTGTATTGAATCCTGTCATTTTTATTTCTGTTCACATTCTTGATATAGCTGTGCATTTCCATAGGTATATTGAATTTCTTTCTGTAACCCCTTGTGTATAGTCATTCCTTTCTTCAGCTCTTTTTATTGCTTCACGAACTCTCTGAAGGGCTGGTTTTGTGGACATGAATTCTTTCAGCCTATTTATGTCATGGAAGTTTTTTCGTTTGTCTTCAACTATTATAGACATTTTGGCTGGTTATAGTAATCCAGGTTGGCATCTGTGGTCATTTAGAGCTGGGAATATTTAGGTCCAGGCTCTTCTGGCTTTCATAGTTTGCTCTGAAATGTCATCTGTAATTGGGTTTTCTTTCATATGTGACTTGTTGTTTCTCTTTCGCAGCTTTCAGTATTGTGTCTTTGTTTGTATGTTTAGTGTTTTTACTATGATGTGGCATGGAGAGTTTCATTTCCGGCCCTGTCTGTTTGGTGTTCTTTATGCTTCTTGTATTTGTATGGGCATGTCTTTTTTTTAATTTTGGGAAATTTCTTCTACGTGTTTTTTTAAATTTTTCATAATCTTTGCTTGAGTGGTCTAATTCCTCCACTTTATCTTCGAGTCTTGATATTCTGTTTTCCATTTCATTCATCTTATTTGTGAGGCTTTCTCCTGTCATTTCTAATTGGCTTACTGAGTGTTTCACTTCCTTCTTCATTTCACCCTGAGTATTCTTCAACATTTCTTTTGTCTGTACTCATTTAGAAGTTTATCCCTATCTTCTTTCAGATCTTTTATTTCTTTGTTTGTGTGTTCTTTATATTCACTGAATTCTTTTATCATGTTTATAATTGTTCTTTTGAGTTCCATTTCCTGTGCTATCTCTAGGGAGTTCTCATAGTACTCCTGTAGAGAACTATTGGTACTTGGTGGGAATATATTATTTTGGTTTTTCATGTTATTATTTTTTCTTTGTGACTTTGTCATGTGAATTTCCTTCATAGTTTCTGATTCTTGTGTGAGACTCAAGCCTTTCTTTGTTGAGTTGAGATCTGCTTCTTTTTGTAAACTTTATGTGCCTTTGTGGTTTACTTGTTGGGCATGAAAACATGATTGGTCTAGGCTTCAGGTTCTCTCTTTGGATTTTATATTGGAGTGGCCTAATTGCTTCTGTCTTGAGGAATTCCCACAGAGGCCCAAGTGAGATGAGGCTCAGATGATATTAGGCTTTATCCTAAGGTATGGGTCCCTCCAGGAAAGATGCTGCCCTCAAGAATTTGGGGCCTGCCCTTGTATGGGAAAAGGGCCCAGGATAAATGCTGGTCTCAGGAAGCTGGTGGTTGTGCCACCCAGGGAAGTAAAGGGAGGTGAGGGTAGGACCAGGCCTAGAGGGTTCCTGATGGCTGCAGGGAGGAAATGGATTGGTCCTGATGCAAAGGATCAGGAAGCCTTGGAGGCCCTGGGCTGGGAGGTTAGCCCCAGTGTCTGGGGTGCCAAGAAAAGAGATGGGCCTGTACCCAGCCTAGGAGAAGAGACTTGGTTGGGGAGCTGGGAGGGCGAAAGAGGCTGGGGGAGTTCAAGGCATTCTGGGTGTGCTAGACTTACTCAGGGAAGGTGCTGGTACCAGGACACCTGGGGCTGTGCAGCCCAGGAAGCATAGAGATATGAGAGTAGAATTATTTCTTATAACTATAATTTTAATGTTACCTTTTAATTTAATTTTCAGATATCCCTATAAATTCTACCCTTTCTTCAAGGGGCAACTATTTTACATATTGAATACAAAGTTGTTTCTGTCGTTAAAGATATATTAGTTCAACTATTTGTGTATAATTTTTAAGTGGGTTGCTCTGAAAACCTAATTATGAAGTGATAGACTATGGGTAAATTTGTGGTTTCTAAATTGAGTTTTACAAGACAACCTTACTCTACCCAAGACGCCAGGCCGAGTGCACCAAGACCGCGAGAATCCAGTCTGCGATGCCAGCGGCCAAGCCTGTGGCTCCCGCACCTGCTGCGCCCCCGCCACTACCACCCCCAGGCACACATCTCTATGAGGAGTTGGGAGACAGTGCCATGTGAGTATTCAGAGACCTTTGAAGAGTGGGGTGGCTGTGTGGTGAGGTTGATCCCAACCCTATGTGGAAATGCAGCTGACAGCTTATTGCACTAAATTATTTTACTTTTTAAAACAGAAAAATAATTGGGTACCTAATAAAAATCAAGTTGAAAATAGTCAACAAATGCACAAATGTAGTATTCATATTAGAATACAACTGCAGAATAGAACTTGGATATTTTATTTAATCTTCCAGCATTCATGGTATTAGGACAATTTGGTGAAAAAATTATAGATTGTGGCGGAAAATATCAAGCAAGTATTCAAAACAACCATAATGGTAAAATGCTAATTCCTGATTTGAATTTAAAAACTAATTCCAACTTGGTAAACAAACTGAACTCTAGGGCACAAAATTCTATGCTATGGAGAAAGGGCTTAGTGATTAAGAGCACTTGCTGCTCTTCCAGAGGACCGAGCTCCCGCCATGGCAGCTAAAAACTGTAAAGTCCGTTCCAGAGGACCTGATGTCTTCTTCTGGCTTCTTGTGGGCATTGCACACACATAGTGGACTTACATACATGCAGGTAAAGCACTCATATACAAAAAAATAAAAATAAATAAATTCATAAATTTTTCTAAAATACTGCTTTAGGACACTGTGTAAGGAAATTTAAAAATCTCAGTTGTTAAATTCTATACTATTCATGGAACACCCTGTTCATTATATTGCTCTGAGGGTGCTGGGATTAACATTTCTACAGTTTGTAATTTCTAAACAATTTTAAATCATACAATTTGAAACAGCTTGTTAGCTTATTATGCAATGACTTCACAACTTTCTATCAAAAGATGCTGCCCACATAATCTAATTTAATTTTTGTATATACTAAAAAAATTTAAGAACAGCTACTTTGGGGCATGACATATAAAATAACCAGGTATAATATGTCATTTTGAAGAGAGCTAAGTTTAGGAAACCTTTGTTATAAGGGACTAAACCATATACTTATAATATTTCTATCTTACAAGAGTAAGACAAGTTTCAGAAATGAAGGAATTAAATTTTACTGGGAAAACCTATTTAAATAAATGCAATAATATTAATTGCCATATTAATAATATTATGTGTGGAGCTATTTATTTTAGTTTTAGTAATGTTAAAATTGATATTAATGTTATATAATATTATGTAAACATATAATACATTATATATAACACACTATGCAATTATAAATGCTACACAAGTTAAATTTAAAACAGAATTTATACACAGCATTCTGCTTCTAAAATGGCAATACAAGATTCATGTTTTTAATATATATTTATACCTTTTCTCATAGTCAAAATGATGCTCTTTGTTGGATTTTCTGGTGAAATAGGAATTGAGCCAATATGATTTGATTCTCTGATTATGTTGAGTGATTCCTCCTAGCAAAAGTATTTAGATAAAAAAGCATATGTGTGAAGTTAGGAGTGTTCACTTATGAGAATAATGACATATACATTCATTTTAACAAAGCATAGGTAATATAATGTGATCTGGAATCAATAGAGTTTGATGAGGATAAATTGCAGATAACAACACTTTAGGGCTATTTGCACTTGAAAAATTATAGTAGAACATTTCGATATTATGTATGTTGAAATGCTGTACATTTAGTTATCTGATTTTAGGAAATGTTTGTTTTATCTCTTAAATTGTTTAGTAATAATTCTAATAAGTTATAAAATGAACTAACTCCAAATGAGCTATTATTTTTAGAAGAAAAATTCAAAGAACATTTTGAAAACCTTCAAAATGTAATTAATAAGTTCATATAGACTAAATAATTTCTGTAACTCTTGCCTAGTACTGACATATTTTCCTTCTTCAAAACAAAAATAATAACTTCTTACAACTCAGTGTGCACTAACCATTTATTCAAAGATAAAACTTGGTCAGAATATTTTGTGTAATTTGAAATTTCTTTTTCAGGATTGAAATTACCCATGTTCACATAGGTGAATTTTAGGTATCTACAGTAAATAGATTGTTAGATATGATTCTATGTATAAATGTCATAGAATTTTATCTAAAACAATGTTAGACATTTTTGGAAAAGAAATAAAAACATGTATCTTCTTTCTTGGAGATATATATGTATATATATATATATGATATATATATTTAAATATATGTGGGTATTAAGTGTTTAAATCAACTTCCTGTCAGTATTGCATGATCCTTTCCAATTAACTGTAGTTAAACTTTTTTTTTCTTCTATCACATGTTTTCTCTTTCTCTCCTGTGGATACATAGGCATAAGTAAGTAAATAATATTATTCTAATAAGAGGGTGTTAGGAACTAGATTCAATGGAATGTATCAAATGCTGTTACTGTCTGCACAGGAGTCCTCAGCTTTCATAAGGCATGAATTTGTGTTTAAAAGGAAAGTTTCATGCTCCCTACAGAGTTTCCTTCTTACTTTTTCAAATGGTGTGAGCCTGAAACAAATGCTTACAGTGACCATACTTGTGCCTACCACAAAAGGTTTCAAAGTATTCTTGTTTTAAATTCAGATAATTATGTGAGTTATTTGGTCATAAGTAAGGTATATGGTTCTGTAGATTACTTCTTCCAAAGGCAATGGCCATGTAACATTAAGTTAAAAGACTTCTGATGTCTTTATTATTCACACTTCCAAAGTTATTATTCAGATAGGCTGATACTCCAGGTCCACTTGCAAGCACATTTGTCTGCATCATTTAGACATGCCAACAAATTTAGCTTTATAATCAACTAATTACCTAATATATTACCCTATTTTTCAATTGTTGTATAATTCTTATTCACATATTCCTCTTTTATTTTCCTTCCTGTTGAGTGAGTAAATAATATTAAACAACTGCTAAAATAAATTTGTTGTTCTGCTTTACCTCAAAGGCAAACCCTAACAAGGGGCTATTTAATGCACCTGTCACCCAGCCTTTCAGGAGGAAAGGTCCCAATGTTCATAGTACAGGCCCCTGATTTGTGCTGTGCAATTTTTCTACTTTAATTATAGTATACAGCTACTTGTGACAGTTGGTTCAGTAATGATGCATAAGCAGATCATGGAGTGATATCAAAACAATACAATTTTAATAAATTATTGTCACTAAAGAGAATCTCGA